CTACTTACTCTTACCGTTCATTCGATGCTATAATTCTTCTTCATTTTGTTCAGGTACGAGAGGGAGTTCTTCTTGAACGTTGTCAGCGGCAATGGGATTGTTTCCTGGGGCGCCGTGGACACCAGCAGATCAGATGACCGCAGGGATGAGATAATAGGTTTTGTAACCACGAGGATGATTGCGGCAAAAGATAGCGAGGTATTACCATACAGGAGGTCCTGATTATGGTATATCTAAATGGCCAGCTTGATGGAGCTAATGGTTTTTATATGCAGATTGAGGACCTGTTTAGGTATAACAGTCCGCGCAAAGATCTAACACTTGTGTATATATTGACGCTGGGTGTGGTGGATGGCTACAGAAACCTTGGGATAGGTTAGTTGCATTGTATTATCGTCTTACTTTTAAGGTTTGCCTTGTGAATTGATGTGGTTCATCCTTATGATAATTCTAACTTGCAGCATCATCACTGGTTCGAGAAGTGGTTAAATATGCAGCAAGCATATCAAATTGCAGAGGTGTTTATTTACATGTCATTTCATACAACCAGCCTGCTATCAGCTTCTATAAGAAGATGCTATTTAAGCTAGTCAGAAGGCTTCCAATGTTTTACTACATAAGAGGACAACATTATGACTCAAACTTGTTTGTGTACTATGTGAACGGTGGTCGTTCGCCTTGCTCACCACTGTAAGTATTTCCTTTTGCTTTGTCCGAGGATCATACAGTTCCTTATTCAGTAATTGTCCAATGTTTCACTGTTTTATTTCCTGTTTGTGATGCTCAATTCCAGGATAATATGTGAACTCACCCACGTATTTTCTGCAGTCAATTGCTTGAACCCTCCAGTGTGGTTGATTTTCTAGTTAGGTTTAGGACTGTTAATGTTTCGATCTGATCTTGGCAATTATCTACAGACCTGAACCTGCCACATGGATGTTCACCTCTTCTAAGGATTTGTCTTTGTGAGATCAAATGTACTAGGTCCTTCCATTTTGCATGTTGCCCATGCTTCATATATATATACTCTCTGCCCCAAAATAAATCAACTTCTAAAGTTGTCCTAAGTCAAACATTTTTAGGTTTGACTGAATTTATTAAAAAGAGCACCAGTGTTTATGACACCAAATTTTTATTTTTATTATTAGATACATCATGAAATATAATTTCATAATATACTTGTTTGATGTCATACATATTAGTGTTCTTTTCTATAAAGTTGGTCAAACTTAAAATAGTTTGACTCAGGACAACTCTAGAAGTTGATTTATTTTAGTATGGAGGGCGTATTAGGTCCTTTCATTTCTCAGTCACATTTTTAGCTTTACTCTGCACATTTTTTCTGAAAGGGGCTACTGCAATGCTGAATTTAGAAGGACTCAACTTTTGATCGTATAGACAAATGAGATTCATCAAGCTCTTTGCCCATAGAAAGCTAAATCTAATCTGGATAGCAAATATATAAATCTTGAACCCTAATGTATCAATCAAGTTCCAACCTATAAGCTAAGGAAGCTTTCTTTGCTTGTATTGTTGATGATTACCTCCTTATGCATCATTTGCGTTCTTGGGTGTGCCTTTTATTTATTGAAAGGGCAAGCAGTCTTGTAACCTTCCGTTAGTACTTCCATAAAGCATCTTAAATGGACGACACGAGCATGAACTAGGTTTCACTAAAGTGTTACATGACATGCAATATTACAGCTAAACTATTTTACTATGCTGTTAATACAAATGCCAAGATGCTTCCAGTTCCCTCTCAAATTGTAGCAATTTATGCCTTATAATACGATAATTGTGCTCAGCTCCCTTTCAAAAGGATAGTTGTGCTTACTGATTGTTGTGAACTGACAACACTGTTCGGTACTTGATTGCTCAAAGAGACATCACACCATCACCTTGATGTCACGGTGTGAGCATAACGTACTTAAGTTCTCATCATTCAGACTGGGGATAACTAACTGTTTGACATAAAACAAAATCATCAGCTGGCAGGTATTTATCAAAAATACTTATGAGAAAGATCAAGTAAGGCTTCAGTTAGGTGTGCAGCAATACTCTTTGATGTTACGGGTTGCAGCTTATACTACTATTTAATAAATGGAGCTATTTAATTTAATTTCTTTTAGATATTCAGGGCTTTTAGATTTTTTTTTAAAGTTGTGTTTTAGGGTTTATGTGAGGATAAGGCTTGCAAAGTTTGCTGTCTGGACATGATTTCCTAATTTACAGGTTCACTTCATGAAAGAACATCGATTTCATTGCAGAGCAGCTTCAATAACCTCTTTATATCCTTTGCTATTGATAGAATTAGAGATTTTTGGTGAAAAATGCCCTCCAACAGCTTCTTTTAATTAGATATCCAACTATTGACATCCTCTATTCCTCCACAAGATATAGAGAGCGATTTTATTGAAATGGCTCTCGACTTAGAGGGTGAGTTTAAGAGCAACTCCAATCTCCAATAGAGTCTCCATATCCTTCCTAATTGCTAGGAATAGTGATTTTGGTGAGAAAATACCCTCCAACAGCTTATCCAAATATAGCCATCTTGTATCCCAGATTTCTCATTAGCCAAAGATAGAAAATGAGAATGACTCTCTAGGGTGGAAATAAGATATAGAAAGCGATTTTTATGCAAATGGATTTCTAAATGATGATTTAGAGAGTGGGAGCATCTCAAAGAGACTCTTTATATCTTTCCTAATTTACAGGAATAGAGATTTTGGTGAAAAAATACCCTCCAACAGCCTCTTCAATTGGATATCCAAGATATCCTCTGTTCCGGATTTCTCTTAGCCAAAGATGGATAGTGAAGATGGCTCTCTAGACTGCGCACAAGATACAGAAAAGCTGTTGGAGAATACAAAGATATAGAAAACGATTTTTACTCAAAGGACTCCAAATGCTGATTTAGAGAGTAGATTTTAGAAAGGCTCTTGGAGATGCCCAATCTCCTACTTTTCTTGCCATCTGGTTTAGTAACACCAACTGGATACGACATGCCATAATAGGCATTCTAGAATTTGTGATCGGAGCGGCTAAACTCTAAATCTAGATCCAAATGGTATGAATTTATATTTCTAGGTTCTAGTATTGTGAAACCATCTCATGTTCCTAGGAAGATTATCGTGGTGTTAAATGATAATGCTGTGAATAACACATGGCAATCTTGTGCAGGGAGATTGTAACTTCATTTGTTGTTGACTTCAGGGCTTTCGTGAAGATGCTGGTTGCCAAGTTCTGGAGCAAAGAGGACCATTGCAATCCGAGATGGGCCAGATGTCAGGAATCAAACATCCTCTTGGCAACACAAAGTAATAAACGGATGATCAGCGGTGATAATACCAGATGTCATGTATAGTTTTAGTTGTGATGACATTTTCTCGTGTTTTTCTTTTCTTTTCTTTTTTCTCTCTCTGGGAGGAGTTTATTGAAACAACGGCTGCTGCTGTACACTTCTGATACGGGTACATAAGTTCTCAAATAGTTAGTCATATTCATTGTAAAGAAGAGGGGAAAGGAGAAATTAAACTGCCACCTGGTTCTGGTAACGTTGGGAGTACTATTGTGCAATGTTGAAATGGTTGTGTTGAATGAACTGAAGCAAGCGAATCTTTTTGGCTTGTACAAAGGCAGCAGTACGTACGTGTTACAACTACTAGGTGAAGTTTTGTTTTGATCGATTGGTATGAATAGTTGGCCGAGTTTTTTTTTGACAACATAGTTGACTGAGTATTGGACTAGAGATAAAGGCCCGAAGTGGAAGCATGGATGAAAGACTGAAAACTGAAGAGAAATATCTATAGCCTGTTGAGCCGGAGGCGTTAATGCATGTCAGAAATTACTTCGACAATAAGCAACCGCACCTTTTAACCCTCTGCCGCCGGATTGACTATACGATCTGTCAAATCCTCTACGCGCATGTTCGGTTGGTATTAAACCCGATCGAAGCTGTTTTGTTGTGAGAAAAAAATGATAAGTTCAAACGAACAGGCCAAACTTGTTCATCAAGCTTGTTTGTGTACTGGTTGGCAACAAGCTTGAGGAATACTCCATGGCCAGCTAACAATTACCGTAGACCAGTATCAACAATTTATATTTTTAAATATATTATTTATGAAAATATATTACATATTTAATCTAGCAATACTTATTATGTAACATAAATATTAGTACATTTTGACATATATTTGGTTGAAATTTAGAATTTAGATTGTTTGACATATCAAGAAACAAGAATTTATTTTTCTTGAGGCGGATGAATTGAAAGATACAAATGTTACCCCGGTCCCTTCAGGCCAAAGTATTTATTGTAGTAATAGTAACATCGAGAAATCCAAGTGTAACTCTGTATAACCATGCAAAGTTGCATATAAGCATGTTCGTTGGTTGGTTTCTGAACTGATAAACCCGACTAATTATTATTTATTATAAGGAAAAAAATACTGTATCAAGCCCTAACAAACCAGCGATCCGTCTGGGGTACGCCCAGACCAAAACCAAAACCCTTGGAAACCGACGCGGTCAGCCGAAACAGGTTCGGCGCAACTGACCGCTAGGCCGCGGCCGTGTGGCCCTGCGATCCTGCGTCGCAACCGATCGTGGTTGTGACCCACGCGGAAAACCCCCGCACGGGCACATCACGAAAAAACAGCCGAAAACCTAGCGATTCGTGAAGCGCCGGCGCGGCTGCGGCTGCGGCTGCGGCGCACCACCTCCCGTCTGTCCGTCGTGCGGCGCGGTTGCGGCAGCGGCGCCTCCCCCCGTCATCGTCAACCCGTCCGCAAGGCAGGCCCTGCCCACAGCATCGCGTTGCGTGCGGTGCCGGGTGCCGCCTCCCAAGCGAACGAATCGCACCGCGGAAAGGGAGTCCCTCCCAGCGGGGCTCGCCATAAAGCGCGTAGGCGCGGGCCGCTTCGTTTCCGCTGCTTGCGCCGTAGTTTAACTTCCAAAATCCAGTTCCGGAAGAGTTGGCTCGGATCGAGGCGCCGGGAGCCATGCGCACCAAGCACCTCATCCCTAACAACGCCGCCGGACTCACCTACGCGGCGCGCGACTACTCCGCCCGCGAGGATTACGGCGGGGGCGACGGAGCCGCTGGCGGCGGCAGCGGCAGCGGCAGCGACCCGTTCGAGGGGTTTCCCGACGCGGTGCTGGGGCTGATCGTGTCCAAGCTGCCCTTCCGGTCCGCGGTCGCGGCCTCGGCCATCTCGCGCCGGTGGCGCGGCGCTGTCGCCGCTGCGCCCGCGCTGGACCTCGACTTCGCCGCGGCGTTCCCCGCCGCACCGCGCCGCAGGGCGGCGTTCGCGGTCGCCGTCACCGCCGCGCTCGGGCCGTGCTCCGCTCCGCCGCACCCGCTCCACCGCCTCCGCCTCGCACTCGAGGGCCTCTTCAACCAGGCGTTCGCCGCCTCCGCGGCCGCGGCGCGCGGCGTCGAGCGGAGCTCCGCAACCTGATCCTTGAACAATGCCGCATCGGTGCTCTCCGACTTACCGGTCCGTCGCGGCTTTCCTCGCTCGCGATCACGGACTGTTCTTGGACGCAGGAGTCGGCTCTTGCTGTTTTTGAGATGTCGGAGCTGCGCATACTCCACTACTCCGGTGCAATAGCAGTTAGGCACATTATTGATGGGGAGTTTCTTTGGACGACGTCCTCCTTGCCATCGAGAAGCCATTGGTCAAGCCCCGGGAGGCTGCTCTCAGAGAGCTTCTCACTTTGGTTGGCAATGCACGAAGACTTGTTCTGTCACCCTGGTGCATTGAGGTATATATCTATCTCAAATTCTCTTTGATAGGTAGAGTATTTAGTGATCGATGAATCTAATTACCAAACTGAAAAAAAAAACTCGAAGCAATTTGCACGTCCAGAGGAATGGTCGAAGTTGCAGTTAGACAAGGTAAGGCGGTTAGACAAGTTGAGAGGAGGGAAGAAGGTGCATTATCCATTGCGCCATTGCTATCAAGTTGCCGAAATGTGGAAGAGCTCTGCGTGTCCGTTGTGGTGAGATGAGCTTCCTTGTTTTGTTAGTTCAGTGCTATGTTATTTCTGCTAGATTGTAATGATAATAAACCGATGATGTTCGTTGCTGCAGCCATCGCAGGGCAAATGGAGGCGGAATAGTGACGATGGAGAATGTCATGGTGTGCTGGGTGGTAAGAGGGTGTCGGTGAAGCATCTAAAGGTTGTTAGGATGAAGTACATTGATGAGAGCAAAAGTGGTTTTGAACTGGTAAAGGTCCTGCTCAAGAACGCCCCTGCACTGGAGACGATGACAATTGTTCCTTCCATGGATGGCCTTGAGCAGGCCAAGTTTAGGCGTAAGGTGTTGAAGCTGAGGAAGTCTTCTCAAAATGCTAGCATCCAGTTTTGCACAGCTGTATGATATGATGTTTATGAGTAGGTCCATTAGCAAAGTTCAATGTTCCAGTCAGGATGTAAGAACATGAGGGTCTTCCTAAGGGCCTGTTCGGCTGGTATTAAAGCTGGCTGAATCTGTTTTGTGGTGAGAGAAAAATACTGTAGATTCTAGCTGATAAGCCGGCTGATAAGTTCAATCAAACATGTATTACTGTAGATTCTAGCTGCTAATTATTGATGTATTTCTTACAGAATTAATGGAACCATTGCCAATATTCATTTAGCTTAAGTCATCAATTTTCAGCTCTTTGGTGAAGTATCTTTTAACTCGAACAGAGAGTCTATATTTGTTGGATGTTTACCTTTCAAGTATTTTGTAGGATGTCAATCAGCAAATCTTCTCTGACAATCATGAAAATAGGGTGACAATTCCCTAGAAAGCAAAACAAACGGGGCCCATGTACACTTCGTGGCCCATGCAGGCCAACAAACGGGCTTGCTATAGGCTATGTACAAACCTAACCGTCTTGTTGTGAACTAATTAGTGGAGAAGGAGGCAATGTAAGCCACCTCCAACCATCGTACTGCTCTATCTCCTACAACTAAAAAGAATAAAGCGTGGATACTTTTTGGTGCGACATTCCAACGTGGGTCCATCGTCCTGTCTCCTGTGATCCCGCGTCGTCGGTCTGCCCACGCGTGAGATCCCGCGTCGCCGCTCGCCTCGTGCCCTCCGCTCGTGTCCATTGACGCCTCCGCCCGATTCCCGCCTTCTCCGCCGGTGCCCGCGATCCCGCTCCTCGATTCACGGGTCTTCTCCGCCGCCGCCGCCGCCGCCAGCGACCCCCGCTCACCGATTTCGCCACTCCATGTCCTTCTCCTCCACGACTCACCTCTGGCCGTAGCCCAACGCCACCGCCGCCCCTGATCGGAGATCCTCGTGGATGGCGATGGCATCCACGTGGACATCGGCGACGTCGCTGCCAGGGTCCCACCCAACTCCTGCTGCCCACCGGCGCTTCTTCGTCGCCCAAACCCTAGGTGCGGTACTGACCCCTCGCGTGCACAGCTGCTGGAGGTTGACGAGATGAAGCACCCGCTCAAGGAAGGTCGCCAAGGAGATGCAAGGTTGGGGCACGACCGGTACTAGGTGAAGGCACTTCCCTCATCTTCATCTCTGCCCAAGCCTGGTCCTCCCCAGGGTTGAGGTTTGTGTCTCCTTGTTCTCAGTCTGACAGTACATAAGCACAAAGAGGTAGTGGCCTGTGTCAGCAAATGTGATTTGTGTTCATATGCTGCATTTTATTCAAGCAATTTGCGATGCACACTCTATACATTCTGATGTGTCTCTTTATCTTCTTTGCAGGGAGCTAGAGATTGGAATTTCGAGTGTAAGTGAACCAATAACTTCTTTCTTTAATTTAGTGGTTCCGAGTTTCCAACCATTCTTCACAATGCTGACTACGGTTTAATTTCTATTAAATAGTACTTTTATTACCTTTCTCAGATACGAAAATTATTTTTTTACAATTAACAAAGCAATTATTTCATATTCTTTGCAGCATATCATTATTCCATAATCTTTGCAACATATTATTTTATTACTTTCTTGGTGTTGGCACCATTTGATCAATTTTTGTGTGTTCCTGAATGCTCTAATGCAGGAGAGGCCGAGAAATCACCTGGACTTGCACAACCGCTTAGATTCTAAAGCTCAGAGGGAGGAGAGGTCTTTTATTACAGGTAAAAAAATAGCATGCGCGCATACATATTTATTGGACAAATATTTATAGGAATAATCTGTGATTTAACATTCCACATGCAGACCATTCGGTCTTGAGTTCTTCACAAGCATCGTTTGGCCTCACATACTTATAGAAATCATGGACCTACAACTAAAAAGAACAAAACGTGGACACTTTTTGGTGCGACATTCCAACGTGGGTCCATCGTCCTGCCTCCTGCGATCCCGCGTCGTCGGTCTGCCCACACGTGATATCCCGCGGCGCCGGCAGGTGGGACCTCCTCCCAAGCCTACGATCCCGCGGCGCAGGTGGGTCCGCCCAAGCCTACGATCGCGCGTGCTGCCTGATGGTGAAGCCCTCGCTCCCTCCACCGCCCTCGCCCTCGCCCTCGTGAGCCATCGCCTTCGGCCTCACGCTGCTGCCAGCCATCGCCCTCGCCGTCCCACCTGCCCCTCTCCGCTCCACCCATCGCAAGAGGTACCACCAAACGCTCAGAGATCGCAGCTCCGCCATCACCGTCCACCAACCCCTAGATCCCCGAACCCCGTCATCCACCGACCACAGCTTCTATCCACCAGCATGCTCGTCGTCCGTGGAGAAGGAGGTGGGCGATGGTAGCGGCAGCGGCACTGCACGGGAACGAGTGAAGCAGCGAGGGTCCCGGCGGGTTGAAGGTCGTGGATCCAGATGAGGTGGCCATGTCTGTGAGGAGGATCCTCGCGGTGCTGTGCTGGGCGCCTCTGCCGCCGCAGAAGTCCGAGAAAGCATGGCAACGGTTGGAGGTGTCCCTTTTTCTCGACTAGAGATCCGTGTGCGTAGCCGCACCATCATTGCTACCAGAAGAGCAGAGGACGACACCTGCTTCTCCCCCAATAGCGACGACCCCCGCCACCAACGCCGCTGGTCAACAGTGTGCCGCGTCCTAGTTCGTGCCTGTTCATTTTCCCCTCATCTGGATCTTTGAGGACCTCCAGTTCGTGTCCATTCATTTCCCCCTGATCTGGATATCTCTTGATTCGTATTTGTGTTGTGTGGTTGTCGCCAAATTGTATTATGCCTTCTGCTTCTGAAAGTGTATTTGCCCCCTATGTGGGTTTTGGTGTATTGATGATATCCAAATTATGGACTAATGTGATATTAATGAGATATGTCGCAGCTATTAGTCCCGTGAAAGAATCAAAGAGTTGATAAAGATGAAATCGTATCCCTCAATTCTTGAAGTTGAAAAGGCGGACGAACTCAAAACGCCCTCCAAAGGTTTTATTTTTGTTTTTGAGTTTAGGATCCGCCGCACTATAAAGAGGGATGCAAATTTAGTTGGTCTGAGGAAGATAGAGTGCTCAAGCATTAAAATAAAATCAAAAGAGAGACATTCTAGCACTTCACGAGCACGTAGATTAATTTTCTGTGACTATCGGTGTCGGAAGTCCCGACGTAAGCCAGAACTCCCGACAGTGGGAAGTCACGACTCTTGCCGGAAGTTCTGACTCCTAGTCACTTAGCCTGCGCGGTGACTGTGGACGTCGGAAGTCTCGACGTGAGTCGGAACTCCCGACAGTCGGAAGTCCCGACCCAAGCCGGGAGTCCCGGCATCGGTGGTTCTGCTGGCCTGCTATCTGTGCACGTCGGAACTCCTGACGTACGTCGGAAGTTCCAACCGTCGGAAGTCCCAACCCATGTCGGGAGTCCCGATACCTATTGCGGGCTGGCTGTGCGCAAGTAGGAAGTCCCGATGTTCGTCAGAAGTTCCGACCATCAGAAGTCCCGACGTTTGTCGTGAGTTCCGACACTGACCTGCACGCGCGGACTTCTGGCTCTATGTGAACAGTGTTTTTGTTAACGTTGGAAGTCCCGAGATCTACGTCGGAACTTCCGACGTAGATCTGAACGGTTATATTTTCACTTGGAGTATAAATACTCCTTTCTTCACTTCTAACCATTACGGACTCATTTCACAGCTGACCCACTTCGTACTCAATAGCTCCCAAGCAACTAAAGCACTCGAATTCTTCATCAAGCCGGTTGATTTTGCGTCTATTACTCTTGGGGCTTTGCCCCTAGCCGACTAGGCGTTGCCCAAGGGCTTCCATCTTGTGGAAGAGCCTTGGGAAGTTTATATCACCCTTCGATTTCTTAGTGGAAAGCTCAAGTGACCTTTGTGGTCGCTTTGAGAGAGGCAAGGAGGTGGAATAGACTCTGACCTTGGTGGTCACCTCAACAACGAGGACGTAGGAGCTCCTTTGTGGGGTTGCCGAACCTCGGGATAAATCCTTGTGTCCCGCATGCTTGTTGTTGTTGTTGTGATTGCTTGAGATTACTTGTATGTGTTTGTCTCTTTGTCTCCCAAATCTTTATTTTAGGGTTTGGTCTCGATCTACGGTTTGGAGGCATTGCGGCGTCAAGGGAGTGACCCAACATCTTCACCAAACCACTAGGAAGTGAGGTTGTAAGATTATTTATCCGCAAAGTTAAATTTGGCACTGCTTTTGTAGTTCACGTAGGCGTTGGAACTACTGACGTTTGCGCCGGAACTTTTGACAACGTCGGGAGTTTCGACCCAAACGTCGGGACTTCCGACAGTGACTGACAGATTTGGACTTAGCATTTGCAGTAAATTTTTAGATACGCTTATTAACCCCCCCCCCTCTAGGCAATTGTTAGATCCTTTCAATTGGTATCAGAGCAAGGTCTTCTCTTTGCGCTTCACCGCGTGAGAAGAAACAATGTCAGAGTCCGACAAGGTGCGAGCCGTTGCCGTCGAAATGGCTAAGAAAATAGCTGAAGAGTTGATGAGTGCTCAAGCCAAACTTTTTCAAGATGAAATGAAAAAGATGCAAGATGAGATGAGCAAGTTGAAGGAAGAATTGAGCAAGAAGGTTGATGATGCAATAAGTGGCAAGAATGATACTAGTGACAAGAATAAAGCAAACAAAGATGCCGCTTGTGATATTGGAGCTGGTGAGCATGCTCATGGAAAAGGAATATATTCAAACATGAGTTTTTGACTATGGACAACTCATGAAAGGTTCAACACTACACACTCCATCCGTCAACATTGACAAGCCACCTCACTTTGATGGAACAAGATACACTGATTGGTCTTACAAGATGAAGATGCATCTCATTGCCGCAAGACTTTGGGAAGTTGTGGATGTTGGTGTGATGATTCCTACCGATGAAGATAGAGAGATAACTCCGGAAGAAGTGCACAACCTTCATCAAAATGCACAAGCCGTAGCATTGCTTGTGTCAAACCTAGCTCTGGATGAGTTTAGAAAAG